AAATACCTAACAATAAACAAATAGCAACCATTATAATTATATTGTCGAACATTCTGGTTTCTATATTCATTAAATCTTTGTCTAGTACATCCTTTTTTTGTCTTATTGCCTGCCTATGCATTTGTTATTAGTATGTCCTTGTTGTTTATGGAGTTAGATGATTTGACTAAACGGTTCATCTGTGGAGGATGGCGTCCATTCTTAAACTAGAAAAATATAAGTCGATTACACGATTCAAGCTATCTGAAAGCGGTATTCTTTAATGATTATCTCAAAAGTATTCTAGAGGTCTATCTTTGTTTTACTCATTCATGTGGCGATAGTTTAGAAAATTTTCTTTGCGCCTCTAATCGTTATCGAGCAAATGTAAAAGTTTTCTTAACTAATTGCTTACTGTGGCAAGCGGCTGTCTTCCGTACAAGTTTGGATGAAGCCTCCGAATTGAAACTTTATTTGAGCTGGTGCACATGAACCATCATCGACATTTGCAATCCAATTAAATGAGGGTGAAGCACGATTTAAACATCCCCGAATAGTATTCAATTCAATATAAGTTTCAACAACATCATTAATCCTTTTCCGAACTTGTGTCAATGCTGAAACTGTCAATTCAGGAATTTTATCAGATTGAATAATATAAGTAATATTTTCAATAGCACGCTGAATGATAGCTGGTTTTGTTTTTACTGATAATTGCCACGTTGTCATATGATTGCCCAAAATGAATACATCGCCACCTTTGGAATTCACTATTTTTCGTTTGAACTGTTGTTTAACTCGATTGATATCGGTTTGACTGAACGACGAACTAGAGCTGAAACTTGTTGATAGACTGAATGAGCCGAGAAAAGATGCTTCAGCGGCTGCTTTGTAAAGTTTCTTATTTGTTGCACTAGATTCATAATCGGATTCTGATATGAAATCTTCTTCACTGATTGAACCTCCCAAGTGTAGTCTACTAGTAAAATGTGTACCGTATTTTTTTTACAAAGAGTTCAGCTGCATATGTAGCCATTAATGGTTGTTCAGTCGCTTCATATTCAGCTATTTCAATGAGATCCCGTTTTAGTTTATTAGACAATGGACATGATGGCAAAAGAATGACATCGACCATGAGATAATTGATTGTATTTAGTAGCGTAATCGATTTGTCCTCTTTTTGTTCTTGTTTGATTGTCTGATATTCATTCGAATATGATCCACCAATTTTAAACGCCCGAAAACCAGCCTTACCACCTATCATAAAGTTGGATGCATAATCACTATTTTGCGAATCGAATGTGTTCAAAAGAGTAGAACCCGTCTCAATTTTGTTTTCATGCATGGGTATCATTTCGATACATGATTGGAAAATATTAGAATCATTGAAATTTGAAATATTGAAGACTGGACTCAGGTCGAGAAACCGTAAATGATCCCATCCAAAACCTGGATAAATATCGACTTTCAGTGATTTTTCACCATAACAGATTGTCACAAATAAGACTGCAATCATGTACAGCATCATTTGTTAAGAGCTAGTATTGATGAGCAATTAATATTCTATCGCTTTATCTACAAGAATCAAATGCTCAGCAGTGTAAAACTCGAATTGTTGATTCAATTGAAAACCAAATCTTCAAATGTATGTTCACGCGATCAAGTGTCAATATCTGATCATCGGCAAAAATAGACCTCGTGTCCTTAAACATTAGATTGTGAAATGATTACTTGTTTTATGAAATCAAAAATTGAGACACTTGCACATTTGAACATCTGAAGACACTTAGCTTTGAGTGATCGCATTTGAAGATTTGATTCTGAATTTCAACCATTTCTTTGCATTCTACACTTATGAATATTATCCATTCCAAATGTTTGAAAATGAAAAAATATCGCACTGTAGAAAAAAAAGTTTAGTTTGAGATGTATTGTAACTTACTCTTTGAATAAATAATGTCGGTGTCCTCTGTAAAAAGTTTGGCCTAAATTATTTCAAACGTTAGAGTGCTACTATTTGATGCATTTTCTGCAAAAGATTTTCAGAGGAGTCTGGATTTCACTCCAATGATATTATAAAAATCTTTATCTCATTTATAATACATGAATGTTATTTGACTTCCGCAATGTACCATAATCTAGGACGTAGGCAAATACTGAGATAGACATGACAGATTAATTGATACCGATAACTGTGAAAGACCTGACTTTCTAATAGTGATTGTTAGAGATCAATAATAATAAAGACTATTAATAAAAAGCAAATATTTGAAAATGGCAAGTATATGAGTTTACAGAAGACAAAATCATGTAACAAAAGCAAATAAATAGGTAGTTTTAGTACTTTAGAAGCCAGAACATTTGAAAGTCATGTCTTTTATATATATATAAATTGTTATCAAATAAAGAGATCAGAAGTTCGATACAGATTTGAGAAATCGTGATTAATGTATAGTACATTGTAACAATCTTCCAAGGTCTTCTTGTTTCTTTTTTGAAAGAACTCACTGTCAATAAAGCATTCTAGATTAATGATTTTCGTCACCATTTGAGAGAATAATATGGTCGAGACGATTAGATTCTATCACATCAAGTTCATTTGAACTGCATGGACGAACAGTGACGAAGAACATAGGGTAAGAGTCACTTCAATAAACGCTTGTTAACGATTGATAAAGCATCTATACCAAGATTCGATATTTGGTAAAAATAAAATAATCAGTCGGATGTTCGATTGTTGTGATAGTCATGAGCCAATTCTCTTGAGCAAAAGTTGCAAAGACTTTTCTCAACGGTTAAATCCACGAATTGAAGAAAATGAGCACTTGCTCAGCATTGACTAATCAAATTTGATCGAATGTGATCAGGATGAATCTAAAAAATTGTTGATTAATAGTTAATTTGTTTGATAAGATCAACAAGAAAAGGATTGCTCTCACTAGAAATCAAGTCGATTGCTTCGTTTAACTAACTCAAGTAGTCACTCAGGAGAGAAGAATATTAAAAATGTTATTGTCGTCTGTTGACAATCGATCTGACGATGAGCGATCAATACTCTTTGTTGAATAAATTGATAATACTTGCTACGTTGGAACTACAGTTGATCAGTTCGAAAACAATAAGAAACAACCTTACTTTTCTGATAGATCACTCAAACTTCTTGATGTCTAGTGAACATCAATGTGGATCCACAGATGGCAGAAAATTTTCTAAGAAACATTGTTGATACTAATCGATGATTACTCTTGAACGATGATTGTGTTATCAAGAGACCTATTCGACTTTCTTTTCGATTGCATTGATTACGTGGCTATCATTGGTAAAGATGCAAAGAGAATCAATATTGAAATTAAAGAAGTTCCGGGGTGTGGGTGAAAAGTTAAGTCCTGTTTCCAAACCCCAACCTACAGTCACAGTCACAATCACACCCATACCTCACACCCACATCCACGCACACCCTCTTGATTTCTACGTTTTCAATTTGATTATAATAGTCTTATGATCAGTTTAACAAATAAAGACGAAAAAACAATTTTCATCAAAACCAGGATCGTAAGTAGAAGGGCGATAAAAATCGCGCATCCGACTACGTAATATATGAATTATATCTGCATAAGCGCCGTAAATGACATCTTTGTTTGAATATTACGTGATCAAGTACGCGCCCCCCCCCCCCCCCCCCCCCCCCCGCTCCCGCCCACTCACCCATCCGTGCCTCCCTATAGTAACGCCCCTGATCAAAACTGATCAGATTTGGACAGTGATTCATTCGATTTTTTTAGTAGGTGAATATTGCAAAAGTACTGACGACAAGGATGATATTTTCATCACTAATCAACCTCACAAACTGTATGCCACTAGAAAAATATACTCTGAAAATATTATGTGTGCATTTATATTTGATAGATTAATTCAACTTATATGATTATCAGACAAAAAAATCAAAAACTGAGCGTAAAAATACACTTGTACAACAAAAAAACAAGATGTTTCATACGTTCTTCGAACAACATTTAAAAGACAAATGAAAAAAAATACAATCATATTAATAACATGAATAGCATCTTGCTTTTTATTCGTTGAGAATATTTGACGATGTGAAGTTTTGTTTCATTCGATGCATCACGATCTTCAAAACTTCTCAATTGTTGATTACTTCTATTTTTTTGTTTTTTTCTAGAAAAAAAGAATGAAAAATTTAGATTGTTTTCAAAAAATATGTATTTTTCATACTTATTGAAGCTGGAGGTGTCGTCGAAGAGTATGGAGAGGTTGAGGTGTATGTCGCGCTCTTCGCATCTGCATTCGACCTCTATATCGATATGGTCGCACACCCGCAACTGGTGGATGAGATCGAGGACATAGGGGTGGAGAAGAAGATGATACTGGCGGTGGAGGTGGTAATCGTTGTTGTAGTATTTCAACAACTAGTTGAACTTGTTGAAGCACGGCGGACATCGTCGCTTCAATCTAGATGTCAAATCTCAAACTATCATCTTTCAATTTCAAAAAAAACTTATTCGATTAAGTCGATTTGAAACACTATCACCAACCTAAAGCAATGGAAATCAAATGTATAAATAGATACACAAATAAAAATTCGTCATGCAAAAAATTAATTGTGAGAAACATTCACATAATTATATGATCACATCTGTAATTTTTCCAAAATTTTCTCCTTTCAACTATGTTTTTACCCTCTCTATATATTTTGTTCTAATCTCTAGAACATCATTTCTTCAACTAATGTGTAGCAGATTCAATCGATAATTTGTAGCTTCTAGCAAATCTCTCATATATTTATAACTACATTTGACGAATCTTACATACAATCTGTCACTCCAAAATCATCTGCAGATTTGAGCGAAACTAACATTTTGCCATGATCTTGTCCAAAGTTTCATGACTGGTTACGACTCACTTTGGCACTGATGACAAAAAATTGGGTTGTCATTTCTCAAAAATAGATCATAGTTAACTATGATTCTCAGTCTTATTTTCACTTGTTAATGACATCAAAATATTTTTGATTATTCTTCAATGACTCTTTTCACAACATTCTCTATGTTCGAGTTTTGTACTTCTTTTGCTAAACTCTTTTCTTATACTGATGACGTAATAATGTATTCACCTCAAACTGTTAGTTTGACTTATCTCTTACTTCATTATCACCAGACATTATCTAAAATCAGGATTTGTATTTAAATTTTAAAGATTAATAAAAATCTAACTAAGCAAAAGCGATTTACGTGTATCATCACAACAGAGAAAGCGATCATATATATGTATATACAAGGATATAATGATGTACAGATAAAGAAAAGACAAAAGAAGTTAGCATACGAGCTATGGTCAAGTGCATAAGCACTTAGCTAAAAAGCTATTTACTATTTGTGTACTGGATTTAGATTTACATATGTTTAGTCTGACAATACAAATAAACAAAAGTTCTACCATATAATTGTAATGAATTTCTCGTTCTGAAAGTCGATCATGTTTAAACATTCTGATTATTTACAAACGAAGACCTTCAGTCCCCAGCTATGATATGCTTTAACAAAATGACTTACTTACTTACTGATTGATTAATTGAAGAAGATCAGGATGAAGGTCGTAAATCTGAAAGAAAAAATACGTTTAGTTTTTGAGAAAATATAGAAACTAAAAGAGAAGGCAACTAAAAAATATACGCGCCTGCTCATTCTAATCAGACATCGTTTCTGATTGTTATGGTCGACTAAAATTATTGAATCAGTCGAGATAAACAAAGAAACAAAAACGTCGTATCCATCATTGACATTGTGTTCTTTGTTCACAATTGATTTCATAAGAAAATTTTCTCTGATTTGTATGTGTTCAGAACAATTCATATAGTATTGTTGGTTGACACAAAATAACCTACCGTAAAAAACATCAAAAGATAACGCTACTAGACAATCTACTGCAAAATTTATATGGTCATACATGAAAAGATGAAGGAAGTGCGGAATGATATTCACTTTAGTTTGATAAAAAGAACCCACATGGTATCTATCTTTTACTTCATAATCGCATGTCATCTCTCAACACATATCGGTTTTTGTTTTAGGTACTTTAGAAGAATGATTCTATTCAATTTGTCATGCATTTTCTTATTCGTTGTTCCTGAAACTAATGATAACTGTATTTATTTCAAACAAAAAAAGGAATTCAATTTAACTTGGTCTATTCATAATAATGAGTGACAAAATCAATTTTCTATGATAAAATTATCTATAAGGTAGAATAAAAGAAGCAATAATAATAAATTTTATTTCAGATAATATTATATCGATTTATTCCAAATCAGAATCAAATAAAACAATATTAGTCTCATACACTCATTTATTTTGATTTGCTTTATTTGCGTTAAAACCAAACAAGGCTATTAAAATTAAACATTTCAAATAAGACACAAATAAGATATGAATTTTGAAAGAAGATGTGGTTATTTTATAAGATGTTAAAAGCGAAGAACAATCAATCCATTAAGTGAAATCATCAATTGATATTCCCGTATATCAGTGACCCTTGATACTTTAATAGAATAGAAAAACTAAATGTTTTAAAGAATCTTCATCAATTTTCTCAGAAGATATATTTGGCCTAAGTGTTAATGTTGTTAGACGTTTCTCATTTATCGATGGCTGAGGAAAACGAATCAGTACAATACAAAACATTCAGCATTTCATGTTTCAGCAGTTGGTAAATGTTGTGATGTTAGAGATTTTATAAAACATTTAGTGGTATAAGAAATTCAACAAGAATTTATTTCTCCAAATGCAGTTCGTATTAATAATAAAATAAACATGCTTGAAAGACAAATAACTGATGAAAACTTCTAGAACCACTAATTATATTACCACGAAGTAAATGAAATACAACAACAACAAATCATGATAATCCAGAGACATATCGGCTATCATTAATTTACAATGTTTGCTTAGAAAACAGGACGTTTAATGGCTAACTTATTTATTTCGTACTCATTTTTGGATCGAGAAGTATCGATGATTTGTTCGATATAATTTTAATCCAACGGTGTCAACCAACTGTAATGTTCTTTACAGACTTCCTTGTATGGGGTGTTGATGTGAGTGGATACGGGTGTGAGGGTATGAGTGGGGTGGGTGCGGGTGTTGATTTCTCTTTACATCCACATCCACTCACATCCGCGCCTACACTCACGCCCACACCCACATCCACATGCGCATCCAAACTCACCCACACCCGTGGTGTAGGGGCGCGCAGCACCTCCTGAAGAGCCGCGACTCATACACGTCTCTGTGTACACAGCGAAGTGTATCATTGATCGCTTCTATGGAATAACTTGAATAGTTGAATTCAACTTTCAGGTTTGACACTACTGATGCTTCAGTTGGGTTTGGAATCTAGTTGAGCTTGAAATCACTTTATTTAGTCTGTTTGCTTAAAGATTTCGTTAGAATATAAATAAGACAACTCGTTTGGTTTTTATAGAACTCACATTCTTAGTTATTTACTAGCTAATACCAAAATGTAAACATTGCTCTTCAAATGAAACAGAGTTACAGTCTACACAAAAAACTCTGGAATACTCAAGAATCGCTTCCCGAAATTTTATATTCCATTCGAATTAAACTTTATATATATGGTAAGTGTATTTATCCATTAAGCTTTCATATTATACCATGAAGACACAAAACATCTGATTTTAAGATAAAAAACAAAAAGAACAAAAATCGTCCAATAGAAAAAAGTTCTGGGATATATGTACATGGTTATCAATAAAACCAGAATAATGCGAAAAACTAGTATTTTCGATGCCATAGAGAATTCAGAAATATATTATAGTTTAAGGCAAATGTATAGACTACTGAATTTTATTTAGTCATGATTTGTTTTATAACGTTTTTGATAATTGTTATATATATACCAGAACTTTTTTCTATTGGACGATTTTTGTTCTTTTTGTTTTTTATATTAAAATCCGATGTTTTGCGTCTGCATGGTATAATATGAAAGCTTAATGAATAAATGCACTTACCATATATATAAAGTTTAATTCAAACGAAATATAAAATTTTGGGAAACCATTCTTGAGTGTCCCAGAATCTTTTGCGTAGACTGTATAATTGACTACATTTATTATTATCTTGTAAAAGCACATGTTGGTGATTATTTTAACATGGTTGAAATGTGAATGTCTAATTATCGTTGATGCTGAAGCATATGGCCTTAATATTTGGTTCACTCTTTTCTTGCGTTTCTTTCTGGATGTTTTTATTCTACGCCGGATATTCTTTGCGTTTTTCTAGTACCCATTTTGTTTTTTTAATTTTGTGTGTTCTCTTTTTATTTGATGTTTCATTATGTTATCGATCATTAAATTCTGTTGTTCTGGCAACTTCTATTAGCTTTCGAGATAAGATGATTATTTCCTCTTTTGAACGTTTCCTTCCTTGTGTAATAGTATCCTGGTTGCTGCTAAGATTGAGCTGTTATTTTTATCATTTAAGAGATTTATGAACGGGGAGATCGGTATGATGGAAAAAGAAAGAAAAGAAAAATGTAGAAAAGAAATCTATCGAAGGGAGAAATATCGAAAGGTGAAATGTCGACGGAAAATCATCGAATGGAAAAACATCGAAAGAAAAATATCGAATCGAGAAAAATTTATTTCATAATAACCACGTATAGCATCGAAAGACAATTTATTGAGTAAAAAAAAACAACAGAAAAATCCATAGCATTAATCTAGATCAAATGTGAATAAACTTCAGATGATGATAGTTTACTTTTTTTTTGATGATATATTTTTAGGCACTACATACGATAATCCATCAAAAAGTTCCATCGCACTTATTTCTCTTTGTGATGGAATAATAGCAATAGCCAATGATGTTAAACAAAATCTCGATGTTTCTTCATCATATATTTTAGGTACAGGAGTATTTTCATTTATTGCACGTTCTTTGATAACGTGTTTGAGCTTTCGAACTTCAATTTGTTCAGGTTCAGGTGGATGACTATGATGACCTTTAGTTCCTACTAGAATATCATTTATATCTGTACGTAAAGTCATAGTACATTGTGGATTTTCACATCGATAATATTTTGATGTATTTGTGGTTGTATTCAATTTAAATACGAAATTGTCCATCACTAACAATGGTTTTTCTCTTTGAGAAAAAATGAAAGATAAAGTATAAGAAAGAGTAGTCATATTATCTAAAATAAGCAGAAGCACTCAGTGTACATTCGATTATCTTCCTATACGTAAATAAAACTTTTCAAGAAAAGAGTCGTTTATAATCTATTTCATTTTCGTTGTTAATAGCGACTTTCCATTAGGACAAATAGTAAAGAGCTTGTAATTCACAGTACATCCATGAAAAGCAAACTAATAATTATGAGCAATTGTCGATTACGTTAGTAGCGTATATGCATGTTGTTCAGCGTCATAAGACTGAAAATATATAACAGAACGAGCCAACCATAAGAGATTTATTTCAATCGTCACATTCAAGCGACCTCTTATAATTTATATCCTTTCTGTTCTATCTTCAACATTCGATATTTTTCCCTTTCTACATTTCTCTTTCGATATTTTTGCTGCTCATTCTTTTTCCATTCGACGTTTCTCCCTTCTATATTTTTTCTTTCTATCTTTTCCCATCCATTTGGAAGATCTATCCTTCTCTAGTATTTTTATCACAGTACTGGGATTATTGTATTCGTCGTTGGTTGTTCATGATGTTGTTTTGAGAATTATGTTAGTGTTGTTTATTATTTCTTTTTGGTTTTATTGTTTAACACTCCCATTCAGCTTATTTAACTGTATATTAGTTTCATAAATAAAAATTTTATTAGTGACGTGAATTTAACTTGAAATATAATTGACATATCAAGACATGGAATAATCAATAATATATATTTCTTGATGAATGAATAGAAATCTTACTATATGAATTTATCTCATCATGTAAGATCTTATTAATGGATCACAAACGAAGCTTATTGTAATTATTGATGTAAGATTTCTGTGACCACAATTCTTCATATGATCTTATATGATTATATACGATAATGATATACGATCCGATACCAGCGTACAAGAATTTGTGATTGATCTTACTATCGGATTTCTTACCCTGGGCATATGATTCTCTGTACCATGGTAATTTGTTCTTGACGTATTCGTTCAATATTTCAGCAGATGTTTATTGGCTCAGTAGCTTATTTTATTGTTCAATGTCATCTAGGCTCTTAAAGTGTTGCTTTTGTTTCGGACCCAGCACATCTTATTTGGGGCCCAATTTTTAATCCGTGTATGACTTTTTCGTTGAAGCGTAAAAAGAAGTTGAGACATAAGTGCACATAATTCTTTGATAAATTGACAGAGAAAAATGTTCTGGTTGCTCGATTCTTAAAATAATACAAGCGATTTTTAGCAACAAATTTAGAATTCTGGAACTTTCAATAGAGAGTCTATGTGACGTTCTATCGAAAAAAACATTTATATAATTTAGTCACAACTCGAAGGAAAAATGCTAGCATTGTAACACATATCCAACAACAACAACTATTTCGACTTGTATGGCAAGAAGGATATTTCGATTCTATTAGTTTATTAACTGACATATATATTTTGCACGATGTTTATCCAGCCCTATGTGAATTATAAGTTATACTTGACGTTAAATTATTTTATTTTTTTGCGTACTATGATTCTTATGTTTTTCGAAATTTTTATTTATATTCAAACTTGAATTAGGCATCCATCCGAATACCTGTACATTCTATCTGTCTCTACCTTTGATTATCACGTCTTCTTTCTTTTGTGAAACACGATCTGAAAGGAGGGTTGAAGTGTATAGGGTAGAAAGTTTGGATCGACTTCCCCCCCCCCCCCCGCACGACGTGCAGAATATGACAC